CCTCGGAGCGCACGTGACGTCTGATTATACGAGGGTGCTGTCGACTATGTTGTCACGTTATTCGTCAGAGGTGATTCGTTTTATGATGTGACAGTGTACGGTGTCATGACCAGCTGTGTCCTAATATGGTTTGATATATTTTGTTGTGCTCGTATGGTTTGTCATGTTCTGTCATACTGGTTACGCTGTCTTGTGCCACCTGTGCTATGTATTGCAATGTTCAGTTTTGGCACACCCACTCAGGTATGTTGCCGTCTGAGATGTTACGTCAAGTTGGTCGCCGTTGTTTTTGTTGTCGCTTGTTCATTCTGCTGTTTTGTGCGGTGTGATGTCTGTATCTTCAAGATGTGCCAATGTATGATGTTCGAGTGCATTCGTCGCCTTCATGGTAACCGTAGTACCACAGGCACGGTGTGTGTTGTTAGGAATTGTTGTGCTCGATTCGATGGTGTTCCTTTCTGTTATGCGATGCGTTGCCTTCGTAGTACGATCGATGCTGTGTTATGTCATGGTGTGTTCTGACATGATGTGTTGTCGTACGCTATGTTATGCCATGTCCTGTCACGATGCTATAGGCTGTGTCGCGCTCTGAGTGGTCATGATATGGTATGATCTGGTCTGTGACGATGTGGTATGGTCTGGTACTGTTTGTCATGCTATCGCATGACATCATGCACTGGTATGCTACGCTGTTTGATGTTATGACATGGTTTGTATACTCCGCTCTGCCATCGCACGCGTTGCTATGCTTTGGTATGCTCTGTTCTGGGATGCTGTGTTCTATCAGGCTCGGTTATGTCATCGTATGTTCGGTCATTATGTTGATTTCAGTCATGCTATTATATGGTGTGCTCTGTTGGGTTATGTGTGCCCTGTTAGGCTCACAGGGGCGGAAGTCTCAGGTATTTTCCGTGGACTTGTGGATCTGGTGTCGTAGTGGTAGCAACAATACAGAAGTCTGATGTGGCATGATGGTCACACCGTGGTCTGCTCATTAGACGATGCTATATTTTGTTACGGCATGGCGCTCCTCTGCAATCTGGTAGCAATCGCACACCATTTCTGGTATGTTCTGGTATGGTATGTCATGCTGTACTCTACTATGGTCCGTTCTGTCATGGTGTGCACTGTCCTGTGTCCTGATACATTATGATCGAGGTTGCGGTCTGACATGCTCGGTTCACATTGGGCATGCTAGTTCATGATATGTTATGCTATGCTATGTTATGTTATGCGATTGAATAATATTTTAGACTGCGCTCTGTCATGGTGTGCTCTGTCATGCTACGGACTGGTGCTGTACTATGGTATGTCATGTCATGATATGATATGATATGTGCTGTTACGGTGTGGCGTTGTATGTTATGGTTTGTTATCTTATGACGGCTTGGTATTCGTGTCACCCGCTCTGTCATCTTATGCGATGTTGTGATGTGTTTGCTATGTTATGTGGTCTGCGTTCATGATCGTATTATGTGTATTGGTCGGCTGTTCTGTAATGTGCAGTGCCGCGTGTTGGCACGGTGTTTGGCGTTATGCCATGTAACGATGTGTTCTGTATGACATGTTATGTGTTTCATGTATGTTATGCTGTGGCATGTTATGTAATGATATGGTATGTGTTGTTATGCTATGATGTTTGGTGTTATGCTCCTTTCTGTCAGGTCCTGTCGTGCTCGTCGAATGGGCGAGGCAGGACTCTCGGGCGACTCTCGGTGGTTTGGAGGATTTGGCGGCCGCGGTATGCAGGAGTGGGCGGCTCGGCGCGAGGCGGGACTCTCGGTGGACCTGGGATCGGCCGCCGCGGTATGCAGGGTGGGCGGGCCGGGAGGTCTGTTCTTTAAATCCAGCGACCCCAAGCCAAGCTGTCAGGTGGGGAATCAAACTAATAGTTAAAAGAAGACACGCGAGGCGTGTCCGTGGGCTGGTCGCAGGCCGCGGGGCCCTCGCCGATCGGTTTGGCTCTGGGAATGCAGCCTGGGGATGGTGTCGGGCTCCGCGCGCGACTCTCTCAGCGGCGTCGTATGTTTTTTGACGGCGCCGGAGGTCGGGGTGGGCGGGAGGGGACACAGTTAAAGGGAATCGACGCATACACTACACCACGTCGTTTGGTCGGCCATGGAGCCAAGGAGTTCAACGAACGAGTTCGGTGTATATTTCGCTCCAGCGTCCCACTGGTTCGGAAGCTGGGGCGTCTAATACACCGAGCTTCCTGGCCGACTAAACGCCGTGGTGTATACATGGAGCCCCTCCCAGACCGAGAGCAGGCGGGCAGTGCCAGGGAGGGTAGAGTCCGAGACGGGACCTTGTACGGCCGACGAGCCGATGTCCCAGGGCCCCAGCAGGCGGTGGATATGGACAGTATCGGGCCCCGGGGGATGATGCTGTAGATATGGATATGGCAGATGGATATGGATATGTGCAGATGTCTGTGTCCTCTCACCCCACGCCATGAAAGGTCATCTCCTCCCTTGTCCTGGAGCGCCTCGTGCTTGTCAGCCGCTTGTAATTATGTTCAGCCTGGTCGTTTGGAATGGCCAGCGCATTTCGGCGACTCGTTCTTGACGTGGCAATGCTAATGGAATTGCTTACGTTGAAAAACACTTGTTGCATCTGGCTTCGAACGATTTCGAGCTCGCCCGTTCAAGAGATCGTGCATCTTGATCAAAGGTAATGCTATTGTGCGCCCTTGGACACGTATCAGCTTCACATACTGGCATGTAGGGTACCGTTCAGACAGTGGCGCAGGCCCCAATCAATACCACCGTCAGGGTGCTCCGTGCACGGCTCAGAGATGTTAAGGCCACACTCAACGTATTTTTCCTGGCTGCCGGGGGACCTCTCAAGGGGCATGGGGGGGACGTCATTACGACGCATTGCCGAGTGAAACCACAACATTCAAGCAATCGTAAACTTCATGGCAAGCGACCTTGGACAGCTGGCGCCCCAACACCTTTACTGGAGAATGCTGGACGTAGTGATGTGTGTTGTTGTAGATTAGGTATACGAGGGCGTTGTGGGTTCAGTTTGATCATCTTTAGCTTTTCAACTTTGTATCCCAAAGGTCAGTGTTGCATAACGCGCCCAGGTGCACATATTCAATGAACCCTGAGTATCTTGCGCGGTCATCAGCCAACCAGCCGAAAGATTTCTTCGATGCATAGCACACCGATTGGAACCAATGTTCACTGCAATTACCTGCTAGGGTGATGGGGCTTACAGCCGCAGTTACCGTGTAGAGGCGGGCACTTGCGGACACATCCAATGATTGGACGCAGGGTTGTCAACTTACCTCCGTTTGTCGAATGATGGTCTGCATCCGTATTGCTGGTGAAATTCAGAGTTCTAGTTGATATTACGCACTCGCTCATTCCCTACATAGGCTCTGACTAGAAGGGTTCTTACTCTCTTAGCTTAAAGGGCCGGGCAGTGGACCACGCCCTGGGCGGTTCCCCCAGTCCCCTGGGAGCGGTTCCCCCAGTCCCCTGAGAGCTTTAGCTTTAGCTTTAGCTTAGCTTTAGCTTAGCTGTAGCTTAGCTTCAGCTTAGATTTAGCTTAGCTTTAGCTTAGCTTTATTTTAGCTTCAGCTTAGCTTCAGCTTAGCTTCAGCTTAGCTTTAGCTTAGCTTTAGCTTAGCGGCACCTTAGCGTTAGCTTAGCTTTAGCTTAGCTTTAGTTTTAGCTTAGCTTTAGCTTAGCTTCAGCTTAGCTTTAGCTTAGCTTCAGCTTAGCTTCAGCTTAGCTTTAGCTTAGCTGTACCTTAGCTGTACCTTAGCTTTAGCTTAGCTTTAGCTTAGCTTTAGCTTGGCTTTAGCTTAGCTGCACCTTAGCTTTAGCTTAGCTTTAGCTTAGCTTTAGCTTAGCTTTAGCTTAGCTTTAGCTTAGTATTAGCTTAGCTGTAGCTTAGCCTTTACCGTAGCTTTAGCTCAGCTTTAGCTTAGCTTTAGCTTAGCCTTTACCGTAGCTTTAGCTTAGCTGTAGCTTAGCTTTAGCTTATTAGCACCTTAGCTTTAGCTCAGCGTCAGCTTAGCGGTAGCTTAGCCTTAGCTTAGCTTTCGCTTAGCTTTAGCTTAGATTCATCTTAGCTTTAGCTTACCGTGAGCTTAGCTTAGCTTAGCTTTAGTTTAGTTTTAACTTAGCTTTAGCTTAGCTTTAGCTTTACTGATCGTACTAATGCTGCTTTCCCAGGGGCTCCAACTCCTATGTAGGGTCGCACTGGGATAATGCTCTGGTATGTAACTAAGTGTGTTGTTCGTGCAGCATGCGATACAACACCGCATGATGCTCCGATTGCCACTATCTCCATTTTGCAGAAGTCCATTTGTTCCTGCGGCATTGGGAACTGTAGACAATTTCAACTCGTCGCTAACGCTAATGTTCATGTACACTCACTATTATGTGCCAGTCATTTGCCTCACGGTCGGTTGCCTGCAGAGTCATGTGTCTGCTAGATCTATCGCTTCAGATTGAACTTTACACTATGTTTCAGCGTCGTTTAATGGATGCATGTTTATGGCAATGTCTTCTTATGTGGCGGTATTGCTTCCGTGTGTGCCATTCGGTTGCGGACGGTAGAGCAGTGATACGATGTATTCGTTTCAGGAAGTAAGTATCAAAATGAATTGACGTGCCAGCCTCATCCGATAATTATCGCAGTTTTAAACATGTGAGCCGTATGGTTGAGCCAGGCTGACGCGACATGCTGTTGGGTGTTTCGGGCAAAAGGAGAAGTTGGTGGAGGTGAGTGCGGAGTGGGGCGGTGACGATCTGCGGGGCCCTCCCCTGAGATCCGACGTTGCGAACACCAGGCGCCATAGTGAAAATTCACGGCCTCAGCCCACGACCGCTTCTTGCTGCGGCACCCCATCGAGCCCGCTGGGCCCGCGAGGGCCCTACACGATAGAGCCCGAGCCTGGGCGAAGACGCCCCGTGCGAAACACAGACGCAACGCCTGGATCTCAGCGTGGTGGCCCTCCTCCGCGCGCGCGGGGAGCGGCCGAGGCGCGGGCTACCCGCAGCCAGTCGCCTCGGACGAGCGGGCGCGCGCGATGCGGTGCCCGGGCGCCGCGGACGACGGGAGGCGCCCTTCCGCTCCCCTCTCCCCCCCCGTGGTGCGGCGCCGCTTCGTCGGAGGGCCCGGGTGCCTCGGAGTCTCCCCCCGGGCGATGTGGTGGCCACGCCGCTCGGCGAGCCCGCGGGGTTTGGGGGTCACCGCGCGGCTCTGGGGCTCGGGTCGTGCTCCGAGGGCGACTCGGGCGGCCAAGGGCCTCCAGGCTCTCCAGGGTTCCGTGGCGGATCGTGCGGTGTGGTCTGTGGGAAGTCCGAGGTCACCACGCGGTCTGTCACCACACGGTTTTGGGGGCCCCGAGCTATGCACGCGCGCGGAGCCAGACGCCGGGGATCGAGAGTCAAATTTCGAGGTTCCAGGTTTTTGATCACGATCACGTTGGGGCCTCGGAGAGGCCTCCCATCGCGACGGCTGGATTCCTCTGGAAGTGCTGATGACCCGCAACTCCGATCATGTTTTTGTCGGAGGGATGTCCGAGACATCGCGCAGTCTGCCTTGGCAGTAGGGCATCGAGTTCGGCATTATTTGGGAGACCGTGCCTTCTTCGGGTGCACAGGGGGCTCCAGTGCTAGTGTCCTCAGTAGGGGCTTGAGAATTAGAGTCCTCAGTAGGGGCTTTAGTGTAAGAGTCCTCAGTAGGGGCTGGAGTATTAGAATTCTCAGTCGGGGATCCAGTACTCGAGTCCTTCGTAGGGGCTTGAGCATTCGAGTCCTTAGTCGGGGCTTGGGTATTAGAGTCCTTAGTAGGGGCTTGAGTAGTAGTGTCCTGAGAAGGGGTTTGAGTATTAGAGATCTGAGCAGGGGCTTGAGTATCAGAGTCCTCAGTAAGGGCTTGAGTACTGAAGTCCTTGGTGGGGGCCAACGTATGCTCATGAAACCGCTTACGCGGGCCTGCGTGGAGGTGCATAAGGGGGCGGCGCCAAGGATCTCAGGTGTGCCATACACATAGGGTTGCGCTGCTTTGCGGTGCTCCCTCTCCCCCCCCGACGGACCAGGTGCGCCACGCCGGCCTGCGCGGCTGTGGAGAGCGAGGGGCGGGCGCGCCCCGCGACTGGGGGCGCCATGCCGTCCCATGTCTTGTTGTTGTTCTTGTTGTTGTGGTTGCTGATGTTGTTGTGGTCGTTGTGGTCGTTGTGGTTGGTGTTGGTGGTTGGTGGTTGTTGTTGCTGTTGTTGTTGTTGTTGGTGGTGGTGTTGTTGTTGCTGCTGCTGCTGCTGCTGCTATTGTTGTTGTTGTTGGTGCTGCTACTGCCGAATTGCCATTTCTAAAGAACAATTATTGTTGGTCCTCCTCCTCCGGGGCACGTGTTGTTTTTTTTCACTTCAAGTGCTTCTCCCGGGGCTCGTTTCTTTTTTGCAAGGGAAAATGAGGGGTCACCAACTTGGGCCCCTGGCCCCCGAGTTACAACAACGATAATGGTCCCCACTGATACATCCTCAGAATGTATGCGGGAATCGCGCTTTCGCGTGGCATTTCTCCGAAATTTTGTCAGGCGTCTCGCCTCCAATCCTTAGGAATCACGCCGTCGCTCGGGCCTTTCTCACGATGTAGTTAGGAATCGCGCTATCGCTCGAGAGTTCCTCGCGAATCATGCTCACGCTTCGGCAACCCGCCTGCTCGATCTGGCCTCCTGGGCCCGCCTTCCCGATCCGCCCATCAGGGTCTACACGCCCGATCTGCCCACGTGTTTTCTGGTCCGAGCCCTCCTCCTGCTAATCTCTCTCGTGCTCCATTCTTCTCCATCTCCCTTCCATCCATCCTATCTTCCCCTGTTTGAGGGGCTGCGCCACCTACATGCGGCAGGTAGGGAAGATACCAATACGACCACCCTTCGGGTGATAAGGAGGTTCGGGGGGGGGGAACCAACGTTTCACTCGATCGGTCTCACTATCGATCTCACTATCGATCTCACTATCGGTCTCGCTCGATCGATCTCACTCGATCGATCTCACTCGATCTATTTGATTCGATCGATCTCACAATCGATCTGACTATCGATCTCACAATCGATCTGACTATCGATCTCACTATCGATCTCAGAATCGATCTCACATTCGGTCTCACTATCGACCTCACTATCGACATCACAATCGATCTCACAATCAACGCCATCATCATCATCATCATCATCAGCATCATCAACAGCATAATCGTCATCAACGTCATCATCATCATCATCATCATCATCATCATCATCATCGGGACACTATCATCATCACCTTACCACCATCATCATCAACATCATCATCATCACCATCGTCATCACCATCATCATCATCGGGACACCATCATAGTCACCATCATCATCATCAACATCATCATCGGGGCACCTGCATCATCATCATCATCGGATCACCACCATCACCATCACCTCATCATCATTATCATCATGAACAATACCATCAACCTCATCATCATCTTCGGGACACCACCAACATCATCAGCACCGTCATCATCAACATCATCCTCATCGGGACACCATCATCATCGTCACCGCCAACATCACATCATCATCATCCTCATCGGGACACCATCATCATCATCATAATCATCAACATCAGCATCATCATCATCACCATCATCGGGCCACCATCATCAAAACCATCATCATCACCTCATCATCATCCTCATCATCAACATCATCATCATCATCACCATCGGGACACCATCATCGTCATCATCAACATCCTCGTCATCGGGACACCGTCATCATCGCCATCATCATCAACAGCATCACCATCAACCTCATCACCATCATCATCATCATCATCATCATCATCATCATCATCGGGGCACCATCATCATCATCGACATCATCATCATCATCATCATAATATCATCATCATCTCATCATCATCAACATCATGAGGATCATCAACATCATCATCATCGGGACACCATCATCATCAGCAACAACATCATCATGAACATCACCATCGGGACACCATCATCCTCACCACCATCACCATCGTCATCATCATGATCAACATCGTCAACATCATCATCATCACCATCACCATCATCATCATCAACAACATCATCATCGACATCATCATCATCATCATCATCATCATCATCATCATTATCATCATCATCATCATCATCATCATCATCATCATCATCATCATCATCATCGGGACACCGACGGGACACCGACGGGACACTGGCGGGACACCGCGGGCCACCGGCCCCCGGAAAGGAATCATTTGGTCTGGCCGCGCCTCATCCGGAGGCGGGACACCGGCGGGACACCGCGGGCCACCGGCCCCTGGAAAGGAATCATTTGGTCCGGCCGCGCCTCAGTCGGAGGAGACTTTCTTTTCGCCCGCCCACGCAGCTTCGCCTCGCCCGCACGCACGGCACGCACGGCACGAAACCGAAACCGATTTCCCGGTAGGGTGGCTCACCGTTCCACTTCGATCTCACCCCCTCACCTCCGATACTCCCAAGGGGGGCTACGATCGAAGACCAGCAGGGCGGGTACCGAGGGTTTGGGATATAAGTGTCGAGCGGCATGCGAACAGGTAAGAGCGAACAGTCTTAAAACGATGTATGCTGTTGTTGTTGTTGTTGCTGTTGTTGTTCCTGTTGTTGTTCCTGTTGTTGTTGCTGCTGTTGTTGTTGGTGGTTTTTCTGCTGCTGTCGTTGTTGTTGTTATTGTTGCTGTTGTGACTGTTGTGGTTGCTGTTGTTGCTGCTGTTCGTGCTGTTGTTGCTGCTTGTGTTGTCGTTGTTGTTGGTGGTGATGTGGTTGGTGATGTTGATGTTGATGTTGATGTTGTTGGTGGTGGTGTTGTTGGTGTTGGTGTTGGTGTTGGTGCTGGTGTTGGTGTTGGTATTGGTGTTGTTGTTGTTGCTGCTGTTGTTGTTGTCGTCACAGCGTGGGCCCACGAATGTCTCGACCACTTCCGCCCCATCCGTCAGGACCAGTTTCGCATCCCGAGCCGTTTTTGGTCGGCCAGGGGGGGCCTGGTAAAGGCCACCCCAGAGAGTGAGACCTGCCAAAAGCCTCCTTCGTTCACGACGCGAGGAGGTCTATGATTGCAGGCGCGCTTGGCAAGAAGCTTGCCTGCCAACGGGTGCCCTACGATGGTAGTTTCTTATATCTCATGGGCTCGCAGATCCCTGGGGCAGAATCCTAGGCTCAGGGGCTGCGCGGGATGTGCTTTGAATTTCCACATCGCAGGCTTCATTTTCGTACGTGACTGGTGTAGTAAGTAGGAATGCATCCCCGCACGTGGGCGCACAGGTACTACCTCATATTGGAGATAGCGATGGAGACGATGGAGGACTTCCTGGAGCGCAGGACCCGCTCTGCCCGCCAGCCGGAGTCTGCGGGGGTGGGGCGAGCCTTCGTCCTCTATTCTCGCTGGAGGAGGAGGATATGGCGGAAAACGAGGGAGAAGAGGCGAAGTTGGAGGAAGAGGAGGAGGGGCATAGGATGATCATGTGAAGGGCCAGAATCCAGAGGAGGAGGATGAGGAGGCTGCTGAGGCTGCTGAGGAGGAGGAGGAGGAGGAGGAGGAGGTGGAGGCCGGAGTAGGAAGGAGCAGGGTCCTGCAGCGCAGGACCAGCCCTGCTCGGGATGTGCCCCGCGCCCGCAGAGGACGCGAATCTTCCTTCTCCTCATCTTCTTCGTTACCTCCTTGCGTGGCACGTTCCTGGACCTTGTTTTCCGAGGTGTCGGCACTCTGGTTTATGTGGGGCGCATTCGTCGCGGGTTCGACGTGGGTCCGGTGCGAATAGCCGCGCGGTGGGACGGGCAGGGCCCCCCGCAGTAAGCACCGCGTGTTCGCTTTCCTCATCGCCCCTGGCCTCCCTCAGAGACTGGAAGAAGCACGTGAGAACATGGCGTGGAAAGCTGGGCACGGCGCCAGCGCAGATTTGGCTTCCGTGGGGACGTCCGAGTTTCTGTTTGGTGTTCGGCGGCGCGCTAGAGGGGGGCGGCGAGAGGGGCGCGGCCCTCTAATGAGGTGGGGGGCTTCTAAAGACGAGGGGGGCTCCTTATAAGCCCTCCGGGCTCCCAAGACGCCTCCCCAGACATCCGGCGTCTCGAAAAGTCAGGATGGAGGTTTAACATCGTCTTCGGCCTCTCGGGGCCCCAACCTAGACTCGGGACCGTCAAAAAACGACTCGGGATGAAAACCCAGTCCCCGGGAGATGGTCGAGAGGTCGGCGGCCCGTGTCTCAAGCAAATCGAGACGCCGGATGTGTGGATTCTCAGAAGCCTTCCTGGCCTTTCTGATGAGGTCATGCTTTTTTGGAAGTCCCGCGCCTATGGCCCGCCCGTGGGACCGCTCCCTTGTGCGCGCCGCCGATGTGTACAGTTCTGGCCTCCGAGTTCTGCCGCCCTGTCGTCGACCCCTGCCCCTGCACCCTCTTCGGCGGCACGCAGAAAAGAAGCCTTCGAGGGAGCAGCGAGCTTCTTAGGAAGGATCGGGGCCTTCCTGACTGCTTGTGGGGCCGCATGGCTTCGTGAGGCCGCCCTTGCCCTGTCGGAAGGTCGCCCCCCCTGGCGTGCGTGCATGCGGCATGCGTGCTTGTGCTTGTGCGTGTGCGTGTGCGTGTGCGTGTGCGTGTGCGTGTGCGTGTGCGTGTGCGTGTGCGTGCGTGCGTCTGTGTGTGTGCGTGTGTATGTGTACGCGCGCTGCCTACTAGGACCGGCCCCCCTGCTTCACCCCTTTCTTCTCCCTCACCCCCCGCCCCCCTTGGTTCCACCCCTGGTGCCTGCGTTCGCTGGAGGCAAGAGCACCCAGATCCCCTTCCATCCTGGGCTTTGCCAAGCAAAGCCCTGTGCGTTTTAACCTGGGAGCCCTGTGCTGCCCGATCCTCTCTCTTTTTCTAGGTGCGTTTGCCGAAGGGCTGCGCCTGCCAGGAGCTCATTGCGAGGGCGGCTCGCTTCTGAGGCCAGCAGCGGTTCGACGCACACGTGTGCGGTCCGTTCCCGCTGGCCACTCGTGCACGCGGGACCGCTGAGGGTCAGCATTGTCCAACCCGTCCCCGTCCCCATGGGGCCATGGTATCTCAGCCCAACCAGCACAATCCCTCACAATAACCAAAGCGGTACGGACGACGACACGACCAACGAAGCACCTGGCGACGACCCCAACGCAACCGACAGCAGCGACGACGCAGACAGCCACGCAGCACAGCAAGACGCAGCAGACCCACACAGCGAAAGCAACGACAATGACGACGACAACGAAAACACGCTAGAGCCCTGGGTCGAGTATATACAGCGAGCAACACGGAGTGCAGAGCAGCTCATGCAGCACCACCAAGTCGCACATTGGGAGACGGTTCACAGACAGAAGTCGTGGCGTATGGCGTCGAGGGTTGCTAACCATGTCACCACCAGGTGGACGTGGCGCGCACTCCACTGGCAACCAGGAGAGAACTCACGCCAACGCGGACAACGACAGCAAGGCGGCCAGCGAAAACGCTGGGAAGACGACTTCGTCAAGCTCCCCCAACAAAACAACCCCGACCAGCATCCAACGCCCACACCGACTACAAAAGGCCAACCCAACGACTTCACCTGGATTCGCACGGCCCAAGACACCACCACCTGGGCGACACTCGAACGGCAATACGCACACCCCACGTAACGACACTACGCCGACATCCACATCCAGGACTTCCCTCCTCCCCTCCTCCGTCGCAGATTGTTTTTTATTGTCTCGCTGTCCATATGCATGATCGCGTGTAGTCCATGCGTTCAGGTTTGAAGAGGCTACGGCCTCCTCCACCAGGTCTCGAGCAGGCCCGCACAGCTGTCCGCAGTGGTGGTTCGTTCGTTCGTTCCCAGGTGGGGATAGGGCCGGCGAAGCCCGAAAAAGCAGGCATGCATCCCCATCCAGGTGTGTAAGTCGGCCAGAGGGGCCAATGCCACGCCAGTGGAGATAGGAATCGGTGAAACGATTCCCAATTGGCGTCTCCACGCCATGATTTTTTTCATAACTCACCTCGATCTTCGAAGGTCTCGATCCATTCCCCAGGACCAGCTTTTCATCCCGGAGAGGCCCCGCGGGGTCTGTGTCTTCTGCCTTCCGCACGCCTCCCGCGAAGGAATTGGAGTTGGCATCTCTTCCCCAGCGGAAGGTGGGCGGACGGCGGCGGAAGCAAAACGATGGCGGGTCAACAGGCGGACGGCGGCGGAAGCCGGCGGAAGTAAAAGGTCCGCCCCCAAGAGGTGGCAACATTTTTGGGTTCCAAGTTTTCAGAACCCGCCCCGCCGCCCGGGAAGCCAGGACGGCGAGCAGGCAGCCGCTGCGGCTGGCAGAGGTGCGGCAGACCTTCCGGGAGCTCTGCGAGGCGCGCTGGGCGTTGGCCAGAGCTTCCGGGCCTCTCGCTTGCCCTGCTGCCGCGCGGCCGCCTCCTCGCCCAGCTCGGACCAAGGGCAACGTTCGGGGGGATGGGCTCCGGGGGGGACGAGGAGGAAGAGGCATCGAGGCAGAAGGGGAGGGATGGGAAAGGCGAGCCGGAAGAGGAGTACGAGGAGTACGAGGAGGATGATGAGGAGGAGGAGGAGGAGGAGGAGGAGGAGGAGGAGCGGGCGGGGGCAACGCCCAGATTTCTGCGCGCTCCAGGCGCAATCCGCAGTCTGCGAAGCGAGGGGGAGCCCCGAGATGGCTCAGTCTGAGCTCTGGGGTGCCAGCGGCAGAGGGCGCAAGCCTTCAGATCACGTGCGCGGAAGAGGGATGGGCTCAGGGGGGACGACTCTCTCCTTGGTCCTTGGCGTCGCTCGGACGTGTGCATTGTTTCCTCGGCGAGGACCATCGAGGAACATCCTGGATCATCGAGCAAAACAAAAATACACGAGATAGAAAACTGCACGGGGAATGGACGTCCGAGCGATGGCGAGTCTCGGAATTGAGGCACAAGGCTTTCTGGCGTTTCCTGAGGTTCTCGGCGGTCTTTCCTCCTCGGGGTGCCTTCCAGTGGCCAGTGGCTTTGCCTCGCCGAGAGCATTCTGGGGTTGCCCAGATCGCCTATCCATCGCTCGGCCTCCCCGCCCTCGCAGCGTGCTGATTCGCTGTGGGCGGCCCATTCGTTGCCGATCTATATGCGATGTCTCGCCGATTGCAGGTCGACGTTTCCCCCCATCAGCCGCCCCCCACCCCCCCCGTGACGTTCCCCTTCAAGAGGTGGGCGGGGAGGAGACGGGTCGGAGTCTGTCTCGGCGTGCGTCCCTGCCCTCCTCCGCCTCCTCGCCGCCATCTTCTCTCCCGGCCTCTCCGACTTCGCGCGTCGAGCTGCATTTTTTCCGATCGCGAACCGCCTCTCCGACGGCTCGATTCGGGAGCCCACAGAGGGTCCACCAGCCCAGCCACATATATGAATACGGCCCCACAGTTCGCGAGGCCAGCCTCGTGTTACGAGCGTCCGCGCAGCGCGTACTTTCGAAATTCACGTGGATTCGTGAACGTACACGTCTTCCGTTCCCTCCTGGTCGCCGGTCCTCTCTGCCCGCCATGCGCGCGCCCCTGTTAGCCTGCAGCCTGCACTCGGGTGCTGCGCGACCCCGACGGAGCCTCCTTTCTGGGACCGCCTCGCGGACACCCGAGTCCCGAGTCCCGAGTCCTGCGCCTCCCCCCTCTCCGTCGTCCGTCTTTCCTCTGCCCCTCGCTCGTTCGCCTCTTCTCGGGCCCTCGTTCGTTTTCGTGGCTGCCTGGGACTTCGCGCTTGATCCTGACCCGCATCCAAAGCTTCCGTCGTCCTCCGCCCCCTCCGTCGTCCTCCGCCCCCTGGCTGGGTGCTTCGGCGCCGCCATGGTTGGACTCGGGTTGGAAAGCTGGGCGCTGGGCCCAGTTGAGCGACGCAAGAAGCGGGGTCGTTCGCGCCGACATGTGCGTGTAAGCGCCCTCGTCTCCAATGTAGAGTGCCGCGACGGCGGCCCGCGTAAGCCACCGCGTAATGTCGCTATGCCATCTCGCGTAAGACGCGTTTTTGATCGTCGCTCAGTTAGGTCAGGGGACAGAAGCGTGGTGCCCCTGGCTGACACGCCAGCCCGCGGCCGGATGTCTGAACGCTGGCCCCGCCCAGTGGGGGCCCACCCTGTGTGGCGCCACCTGGAATTGATCTCCGCCGCCTCCTCGCTCGCTCGCTCGTTACGTAAGGGCACAGGAGGTCCGAGGCTCTTCTTCGAATTGGAGGGCGAAGACAGTCCCCCCAAACATGCGCATGCAGAGGAGGGGAAAGGGTGACACGAGGAGTTCGGTCAAGCCTGCGCCAACCTGAAAGCAGCTGCACGAGCCGGCACACTGGGCGCAACCATGTAAGCCGCGGTAGTCGAGTTTCCTGGGGTTTTGACGGTATGCAACGAGGCCGCACCTGTGAGAGCACCTTCCTTGCACATGCCAGGGCGAAAGGGCTCAAGATGATCAACCCCTTCAGAGGCAACAAGGGGAGCGGGCAGAAGGTGGGGGGACCCAGACGTACACAAGTCAACATCGCAATGTTGGACCCAAGGAATCGCACGCAAGAGTCTGAGTTCAGGAAGCACCTGGACGGAGGCGCACGTTGGATCACGAGAATGAGGAAGCGTAAAGATAAAGGGCACCATTGAACAACAACAAGCAAGGACAACCTCAACTGCGGGCCGAACCTCGAAGTTGTGGCTGTTGACTTTCTCCATATCCGTTGGGCGTAATGTCAGCTTGTCAGTAATGAGGGATGGCCTTCCCCTCGAGGCTGATGAATGGACCCCGCGTGGCGCGACATTTTTTGTTTATATCACGCGCGCCAGGGGGTCGTTGCGGGCGCCGCCAAGGGGCTTGTGTACACCCTTGCAGGGTTGTCGCGGGAGCCGCCGATGCGGTCGTGTTCCACCTTGCACGGCAGCCTCCAAGCGATTGTTTTTCGTTGTTATAGGGATCGTATACATCCCAGGCGGGGTTTTCCCCCCTCTCGGGCTTATTTCTGACGTGCCGCCGCAGTCGTGGTCGTCGTCGTGGTCTTGGTCGTCGTCGTGGTCGTGGTCGTGGTCGTGGTCGTCGTCGTTGTCGTCGTCGTCGTTGTCGTCGTCGACTACAACGGGCCTACGCAGCACCCCTCCCTTCCCCTTCCATGGGGCATCGGCAGTGCCTCGTCGTTGTCGTCGCCGTCGTCGTCTTCGCTGTCGCCGAGTACAGCGGGCATGCGCAGCTCCCGCGCCCCCCCCCAATGGAGCATACGCAGTGCTTCGTCGTCCGCCGTCGCCGTTGCCGTGTCGTGTCTGTCGTCGTCGTCGTCGCCGCCGCCGCCGCCGTCGTCGTCGTCGTCGTCGTCGTCGTCGTCGTCGTCGTCGTCGTCGTCGTCGTCGTCGTCGTCGTGGTCGTCGTCGTCGTCGTCGTGTAAAACGTATTGTAGTGGAGGGGGGAGGGGCGGAGAACGCGAAGAAGGAGCCTTTCCCCCCAAATGGGGCATCCGCAGTGCGTCGTCGTCGTCGCGTCGTCGTCGTCGTCGTCGACTACAGCGGGCCTATGCAGCCCCCCCCCCAACGGGGCATTCGCGCCGTAGTGCGTCGTCGTCGTTGTCGCCTACGCCGTCGCGTGGTCGTCGTTGTCGTCGTTGTCGTCGTCGTCGTCGTCGTCGTCGGCGTCGTCGTCGTCGTCGTCGACTGCAGCGGGACTCGCATTGCAGCACACCCTTCTGGAGCATCTGGAGTGCGTCGTCGTCCGCCGTCGCCACCGCTGCCGCCGCCGCCGTCCTTGTCGTCGTCGTCGTCGTCGTCGTCGTCATCGTTGTCGCCGTCGTCGTCGACGACAGCGGGCCTACGCAGCGCTCCACCCATCCGTTCGCATGGAGCATCCGTCGTCGTCGTCGTCGTCGTCGTCGTCGTAGGACACTGCGGTGGCGCCACGGAAGTTCTTGTCACGGGCAGCAGTGCCCACTGCAAGGGGTATTTTGGTGTGTGGTCCGTGTTTTTTTCTCTCTGCGGAGCGATCGACGCCATCTTCCGCGGGCTCTGGAAGTGCACCCACGAGCCCGTCGCCGCCCGGCTCCCTGGGGTCACCAGCCCCGATGCGGTCGCGGCGGCGTTTGCAAGCTGAGGGGTCGGACGAATGCTGTGAGATGTTCGTGTTCGTCTCTGGGGCTCTCCTACATCCCGCCGACTCGTGTCCCAGGGCCATGATCGAGTTGGATGATGGTCCTGTCCTTGTGTGTCGCCGCAAAGATATGTTGCACCATTCGGGACGTGTTTTTTTGTGCGGAGCTATGGGGCTCCCTCTTCTTTGATTGAAGGTGCGCCGGCATCCTGTCAGGGATCTTGCTCGGACTGCCTGTAGCGTCGTTCAAATCCCACCAGCCCTTTGGGCGTAGGTGGTCTAACGATATTATTTTTTCCTCTTTCAAAAACCCTCTTCCCCTTCGGGGAGGGGTTTATCATTGTTTCCTATTAAAGACCCCCTCCCCCAGGCGACTGGTATCCAACCCAGAACCATGCGGGCACCCCCCCATCATCCCTAAAACAAACCATACAAAACACACTCTGCTTCCAAATTCGGAACTTGCGCACCCAATCCGATGCGGCCTCCCCCAACCATCCTTGCCAAAAAACAATACAGAGTACACTTGGCGGCGGCGGCGGCTGCGGCGGCGGCTGCGGCGGCGGCGGCGGCAGCGGCGGTGGCGGTGGCGGTGGCGGCAGCGGCTGCGGCGGCAGCGGCTGCGGCGGCGGCGATTTGGCAGCGGGGGCGGCGGCGGCGGCGGCGGCGGGCAGCGCGGCGGCGGCGGCGGCGGCGGCGACGGCGCGCGGCGGCGGCGGCGCGGCGGGCGGCGGCGTCGGCGGCGGGCGGCGGCAACGGCGGCTGCGCGGCGGCGGCGGCGGCGGCGGCGGCGGCGGCGGCGGGCGGATTGGCCCCCAGCTGCTGCCCATCCAAAAACGACTGCTGCATATGCTGATGCTCGGGCGGCGGCGGCAGCGGCTGCGGCGGCGGCGAATTGGCAGCGGCGGCGGCGGCGGGGCGGCGGCGGGCGGCGCGGCGGAGGCGGCGGCGACGGCGGCGGCGGCGGATGGCGGCGGCGGCGGCGGCGGGCGGCGGCGGCGTCGGCGGCGGCGGCAACGGCTGCGGGGGCGGCGGCGGCGGGCAGCGGCGGCGGCGGCGGCGGCGGCGGATTGGCACCCAGTAGCTGCCCATCCAAAGACGACTGTTGAATATGCTGAGGCTCGGGCCAGATTCGGGTGCTACGTATGTGTTGGGAGGGCAGGTGGGGGTGAGCGAGACGGCTTGCGGGCGGGGCGGGAGTCTTTACCCCTCCTCCTACCCCCCTCCCCTGGACTTTTTGGGGAGGTTTCGCGGGTCGTTTGGGGGCCCTTTTTTTCGGTACCTGGGATGGCCAATTTTTGACACCCGTCAAGAGGATCGTGGCCCCCGAGGGGGCTGCCTCGATCGGGAGCTTCCCTCCTTCGATCGATCGCTTCGAAGATGGCCCCAAAAGGGTGCTCCAGGGCTCCCAAACCCCAAGAGAGCCCCAAGAGGGTTCCAAGAGGCACCCGAGAGGCCCCCAATAGGCCCCCAAGCGGCCTCAGAGAGCCCAAAGATGACCTCCAAGATGGCCCAGATAGCCCAAGCTGGTTCAAACTGGTTCCCATGATGCCCAAGAGCGCCCCAAAAGAGCCCGATGTAGCGGGTTGCCGGCTCCTGAGGGGGGGGCTGAGTTGGGGACCCCCTATCATGTAATCGATCGCCTCCAAAAAATGACTATCCCGGCAAAGCAACCTAACAGCGATGTGTAGAAGCATATCTGAAAACATTCCCTTAAGATTCAGATGAAAATCCAGTTGTAGAATTCTGCTGTTCTCGCAGTCGTAGTCGCATTCGCGATGACACTCGCAGCGGCAACGGCAGTCGCAGTCACAGTCTGCATCAGCCTGCCTCAGCCTCAGCCTCAGCCTGCCTCAGCCTCAGCTTGCCTCAGCCTCAGCCTCAGCCTCAGCCTCAGCCTTCTTCAGCCTCAGCCTCAGTCTGCCTTCGGCCTCGGCCTCAGCCTCAGCCTGCCTCAGCCTCAGCCTGCATCAGCCTCAGCCTCAGCCTCAGCCTGCCTCAGCATCAGCCTGCTTCAGCCTCAGCCTCAGCCTACCTCAGCCTCAGCCTCAGTCTGCTTCAGCCTCAGCCTCAGTCTGCCTTCAGCCTCGGCCTCAGCCTCAGCCTGCCTCAGCCTCAGCCTGCCTCGGCCGCAGCATCAGCCTGCCTCAGCATTCAAAATGTGGCCCAGGAATGGAGTTCTGGGAACTAGAAGAACACGAAGTGGCCTACAGTTGGCTCCGGGCATTCAAAATCATGCCCAGGAATGGAGTTCTGGGAACTTGAAGAGCACGAAGTGGCCTACAGTTGGCTCCGGGCATCCAAAATGTGGCCCGGGAATGGAGTTCTGGGAACTCGAAGAGCACGAAGTGGCCTACAGTTGGCTCCGGGCATTCAAAATGTGGCCCGGGAATGGAGTTCTGGGAACTCGAAGAGCACGAAGTGGCCTACAGTTGGCTCCGGGCATTCAAAATGTGGCCCGGGAATGGAGTTCTGGGGACTCGAAGACCACGAAGTGGCCTACAGTTGGCTCCGGGCATTCAAAATGTGGCCCGGGAATGGAGTTCTGGGAAGTCGAAGAGCACGAAGTGGCCTACAGTTGGCTCCGGGCATTCAGAATGTGGCCCGGGAATGGAGTTCTGGGAGGTCGAAGAGCACGAAGTGTGCGACTGTTGGCTTAAAACGACTTCTGCGGCACCCTGTCCGGCACCCGCCCAGACCCCCCTGTGGAGTCATCTGCTGTTCTCTTTTGACCCTATTAGAAACCTATCAGTCTTCGCTGTTAGGTAATTACAACAAACTTTCTAGGGCGACCAAGAGGCTTCCAAGAAGGCCCCCAAAACTCCCAGGGAGCACCAGCAGCAGCAGGAACCTAAGTAGTCCTCGTCCTCTTCGTCCTCGTCCTCATCCGCGTCCTCGTCCTCCTATTCCTCCTCGTCCTCATCCTCCTCCTGCTCCTCCTTTTCCTCTTCCCTTCTCCCCCACGCGCCCCCCAGGGATGGTCGTTCAGTTTCCCTAGATGTGTCTCTTCGTCCCTTTTTCCTCGCCAGCTCTCATGGGCAGGGTTTCTGAATGGGCTGGTGGGGATACGCGAAGCGTGAAGCATTGACGATGTGTCATGCGCCCATCTGGGTTCCATGGCCTCAGATCTTTCAGCTGGCGGAGTTCAGCTGCATCAATTGGGCCTCGGTGCCCACTTCGGCTGCCGTCCAGATTTTTCTGATTGTAGCAACGTTGTGAAGCAAACCTGCCGCACTACATTGGAGAAGCTTTCGGGCAAGAGGGTGTATTCGGTTGCTTTCCCTCATGCGTGTGGCCAAGGTGAAGCCCCTCCCGAGGCTTGTCTGAAAATCTCTGTTCACCGTGATGTGGACGAAAGTGGGATCGACGCCGAGGAGCGTGGGTGCAGGCAGGGTCATCACCACGCGGATGTTTCGGCGAAATCGGCCACGTCGCTTCATCCTTCCAGCATTAACTGTTTGGAGGAGTCGGGTCGGCTCGTCCAGTTTGCACGTGACGCTCTACGCGTGGCGTCTCACATGTTGCACCTCTGGCCAGACATTGTCCTGTCCGAGGCTGAGAGGGAGATTTTGCAAGCTGCCGCGGCAACCGCTTCCGTGGGTCACGAATGACAGCGCTAGGGTGATATTTGGCGTTGTGCGCGCTGCCTTTGTGGCAGCAGTGGCTCTGCCCAGCCCCCCCCGTTGGTGCTTGTTCCAGGGATTCTGCTGCGCACGCTGCTTATCATGACGAGCTCGAATATCGCGCCGTCGCTTTTCCACGTTCGGACGTCTCCGTTTTTTATTTGCACGAAGTGCAATTTCTATAGCAGTGGAGGCAAGTTTCGCGGTCTTGCTGCCAAGTGCGCCTCGGTTCCGCCCCGAGCTTGTAAGACTGGGCGGGACTACGTGTGCAGGGGATGTCACCCCTTGTGCAAGTTGCGTTGTGAAGGTGCACCGAAGGCCTCGTTCAGTCTGTCAACTGTCAGGGTTCCACCGTGGAGTCCGAGTGCCACGGTGCATGTTCGCACCTTGGCAGGTCCTGGTCAAGGCGCCGCGCAGAGAGCTGGCCTCCAGCGTGTACGCGCGTCCCTCGCCCTCGAAGAGGAGGAAGGCCCGCTCATGCCAAAGATAGGGGGCAGGTCAGACGAGTCTGACAAGGCTTCATTCCGAACGGCTGCACATTTCTCCATTGCAGTCGTGCTTTTGCTTGGCGCGCCCAGGAGACGCGGGGCGTCGAGGTCATTCTGGGTCAAGCGCTCCGCTGTAGCGAAAGCGCTGTCCTCTTCCGCTGAAGCGGCGCCGCGTGCGTCGCGCCTGTCGCCCTTCACCGGCGCCGCCGTGGTATGTTTCCATTTGGCGGGCGCGCCCCCGCGATTCGCCCGAGCAGTGAAACAATTTTCAGGGACAAGCTGACATTCTGCCGTCCACTTCCCAATCTTGGCTTGGCGTTCGAACCCTCCCACCTTTTCTCGCGGCCTCCAAGAGGCAGCTGCACGCTCGAGCAGCACATGCCCGACCTTTCCTCGCATAGCCCGCGAGGCGCAGCCGCTGGAAGGCACCCCGAGGATGAAAAACGACAAGTGAGGAACGTGCCCGAAAACCTTGAACCTCAATTCCGAGAGAGTCATCCCCTGCTGAGGCCACCCTTCTTCCGCGCACGAGGTCTGAAGGTTTGCGCCCTTTGCCGCCGGCCCCCCCAGGTTCAGGCTGAGCCTTCTTGTGGCTTCCCCTCGCTTCGCGGAGTGCGTCTGGGGCGCGCGGCGTTGCGCCCGCCCGCTGCCCATCCTCCTTCTTTTCTCGCCTTTCCCCTCTGCTCACATTCCGCTTCGATTCTAAATATGCCGCCCCTCTCCCTTCCAGTTCCCGGTCCTCTTTTGTTTCGTTGTTTCTTCTTGCTCTTGCTCCTGCTCGTCCTCGTCGTATGCACTTGGCGGGGGCCCACCTGGACCTGGGTGCACCTCGTCGACCTCACCTCTTGCTCTTCTCTTCCTGGGGGCCCACCCGGCGCCATCCTTGGGGTTTCTTGGTGGCCTTTTTGGGGCCTCTTGAGGCCTTTTTGTTTTTGTTGAGGGGCCCTCTTGGGTTGCCTGGGGGCCCTCCTGGGCTGCCTTCGGGCCTTCGTGGGCCCTCTTGAGTCGTCTTTCTTCGGAGCCGCCGCGTGCCGTCTTCGAGGCCTCTCGGGCGGCGTCCCGAATTGAATCCTTTGACTGGCTGCTCGGCCAGGAATTTGAGCAGTCCCTCCCTCTGGGTGCCTTCGCCTGGCGCTGCTGGCCCCCGCCATGGCGCCATGGCGAGCCGTAGGGTGGAGGCAAGGCTGGAGGGACAAAACGACAGCAAAAGCAAGACAGCACTGCGGCAGAGGAAGCCTCACAGCCTCGTGCCCCCCAGTGGGGTTGGCGGATTCCTCCTCGTCGCGGCACACCAGACGTGCCGCCAGGGCGGGCCAGGCGTTTCGTCCGAGGCTTCCTCTCCGGCGCCTGTGCCGATGCAGCTGCAGCCCTCAGCATCGTCTGACCCAGCCCCATCCCATCCTTATTGGGCCATGGTGCGTCGTCCCCACCGTGTTAGTCGCCTACGTGGCGACAGGGCCCGCGAAACCCGGAGGGAGCAGCACATGTGATCCAGGGTCGAGCGTTCCTAGGCTACCTCCCCCCCAGACGGGATGGGCCCCAAGGTTCACATGCCCGCCCCCGTGACGGGATGGAGGGGCGACGACGACGACGACGACGACGACGGCGACGGCGATGACGGCGACGGCGACGGCGACGGCGTCGACGACGGCAACGACGACGACGGCGTCGACGACGACGACGACGACGACGACGACGACGACGACGACGACGACCGCCATCACGCCACGCCCACTGGGCCACGACCACGGGGGGCGACCCATCGCGCGGGGAGGGCTAGTGAGTGAAGGCATCAGCATGAGCCCGAAGCTCTGGTTCATATATCCCTGTCTGGGTGGGCAAGCGGCAGTGATCAGTTAAACGATGCTCAAGCCCCTTGTACCTCTGGCGCACGAGGTGGTCACCGGCCTTCACGGCCGGGGGCTGGTGCACCTGGACCTGAAGCCGGCCAACCTGATGCGGTTCCCGTCCGGCCGCTTCAAGCTCATCGACATGGACGGGGTGCAGGCTGGCGCGGTAGCGGGGAGGTCTCGAGGAGAACGAGCGGGGAGGTAAGGACAAGGTACCGATATTGCTGCTCATTCTGGAGGGCTCTCGTCGCCACGGCTGCATTCCCTCCAAAATTTCGATCAGAACGCACCCTGGGAGATTTCCGGGGAGTCCATCGTCGGTCGTCCGTCGTTCGTCGTTCGTCGTTCGTCGTTCGCCGTTCGCCGTCGTCGTCGTCGTCGTCGTCGTCGTCGTCGTCGTCGTCGTCGTCGTCGTCGTCGTCGTCGTCGTCGTCGTCGTCGTCGTCATCGCCGTTGCCGTTGCCGCTGCCGTCGCCGTCGTTGTCGCTGGTGCCGCCGCCGTCGCCGCCCCGCCCTGCGGTGCAGCTCGGCCAGTGCGCTTGGACATCAGGCCTGCAGGGAGGTGGAGGCAGGCCCTGGCAGCAGCAGCGGGCAACTAGGCTGGAGCGGATGGATTTTCGGCCCCCAAAGCCTGGTCGGGCCCTGGGTCCCGTCCCTGCTGGCCTGGAGTCTCCCCCCTCTCCCCCCTTCTATTTGGGCCCTGGGCACGTTGCCCCCCGGGCCCCGTCCCTGGCGCCCCCTGGGCGTCGTCCTTGCTCTGCCCTCCGCCCGGCCCGTCCCCGCCCGGCCCGTCCCCGCCCGGTTGGTTCCCGCACCCGCGCTTCTCGCTCTGCGGGGCCCGCGCCTCCCCCGTCCCCGCCCGCCTCTTTGGCCGTGCGGCCCCCAGGGGCCCTGGCCACGGCCTGGTCGCCCAGCGCTGGCGCGTCCCTGCCTGGCCCCCGGGGCTACCCGCCGGCTGTCGACCCTCCGCTCCAGGCCGAGTGCCCGCCCGCAGCAACGCAGCCCAGCAAGGCGGGGCTGCCCGGGGTCCTGTCTGAGTGGCGCTCCGCCAGCTCCGTGCGGGGGGGTGGGCGCTGGACCACCGTGGGGCGCCCTCCGCTGCGGTGTCGGGCGCCAGCCGACCGGCCCCCGGCCCCCGGGGAGGGAGGGTCCGAGGGCATTGCTCCTGAAATCTGAATGCCGCGCCGCGGGGCGCGGCCGGCAGGGCGCCGAGGGAGGAGCCGCCGGAAGGAGCCGGAAAGAAAAAGGAAAGGAGGGGGAGGAGGAGGGGGAGGAGGGGGAGGAGGAGGGGGAGGAGGAGGAGGAGGAGGAGGAGGAGGAGGAGGAGGCGGAGGAGGAGGAAAAGGAGGAGGAGGGGAGGCGGAGGAGGAGGAGGAGGAGGATAGTAGGAGGAGGAGGAGGAGGGAGGAGGAGGAGGAGGAGGAGGAGGAGGAGGAGGATAGGAGGAGGAGGAGGAGGAGGAGGAGGAGGAGGAGGAGGAGGAGGAGGAGGGGAGGGGGAGGAGGAGAAGATGGAGGAGGACAAGTACGAGGAGGACGAGGAGGACGAGGAGGACGAGGAGGCGGACTGTGGACTGCCGCGGCCGCCCCGCTTCCGCCCCAGCCGTGCGGGCGCACCGTGCCCGTCACTGACATCACGTGCACCGCGCAATACTGCTCTCCAGAGGCCCGCGCCCCCCCTCGCCGCCCTCCTCCTCCTATTGCGCGGCCCCTCTCGTCGTCGCCCCCCCGCGGCTCCTTGCGATCAGGGGACCCAGACATCAGGCATCATGAAAGGAAGTCGAGACGGATGTTTTCCATAGCTAATGGCTTCTCAGACCCCTTTCTGGGCCTCGGGGCCGTCAAACTAAAACTCGAGATGAAACGCTGTTCTCAGGGAAGTGTTCGAGAGGTCGGGTGCCCGTGTCTCGTACAAGTCGGTACGCCAGATGTCTGGGGACACTGCTATGGTTTCCTCGTTTGCACCTTTTTGGGCTTCCTCGGATGCCCTCGTTGTCACGGCTGGATTCGCCTCACAATTCTGGCCAGAAGTCTCCCCGGGAGAGGTCCGGGGAGCAGCGGTGACGGTGTCTGTTGGCCAGTTCCTATCGAGACCTTTCTCTTAACCGTTCACAGAGTGACAGCATCCGACGTTTCTCTTGCCCTGTTGCACGCAGGCCCTTGGCGCCCAACGGGCTCGCGGCGGGGCTCTCGTCGCGGGGCGGCCGCTCCCGCGGCGCGCGCGGGGCCCGCGCGGCGAGGTCGCGGGCGCGCTGCTGCGGGTCGACGAGGACGCGGAGCTGACCATCTCCCGCCTGATGGACGCGCCCCGCGGCGAGGTTGCGGGCGGGGCGGTCCGTCCTTGGAGCCGGCTGGGGGTCTGAGGTGGGCCCAGCACTGGTCTGGGGTGGGCCGGCCGCCTCCAAGTCCTTCCTTCCTTTTCTCCTCCTCGTCCTCCTCCCCTTTTTTCTTCTCGTTTATATGTGTGCAGCCCTGCTGTTGCTCTATGTCTGTCTACTCCGCCTCCCCTTGCCCGCTCTCGTCGGAACCGTCGTTACCTCCGTCTACTTTGACCCATCGGCAGCATCGTTTTTCGGCAAGCGCGCGCGCGCTCGGCGCTGATTCGTCCACTCCCGCCCGCCCGCCTCCACCCTGGCTCAGGGGCAGCGTCAGGGGTCGATAGGCTCCGTGGGGGATGCAACGACTTCCAGTCGCCCATGCATCGCCGATCCGGGGCCCGACAGCTCACCCCGCCCAGGAGCGTGCGGATTCGCCATCGGGGGCCTATCGACGATGTATGACGATTCCAGGTCAAGGTTTCCCTCCCTGAGCTGGTCCCCCCCCCCGACGCTACTCGTGGGTGAAGGCATATCCGTACCACCGATCCTCCACTCAAAAGGGGCTATGAGTACCACCGATCCTCCACTCGGAGGCGCTATTGAGTCCCTGGAGAGCGGCCCCCCTCCTCCCCCCCACTGTGCCATCAGGTGGGAGGAGGTGCGACCGCGAGAGCGACTGCGAGGGACGGTCCGCCTCGCCGCCCTCGCCCGCAGTCAAGCCCAGGCTCCCTGAGGCTTCTCTGCATGTGGTGAAGTTTTCCTGAAGTTTTCCTCGTCTTGCACGGATGAGCGACGCAACAACGACGGGGTCGTCTGCGCCGACGTTGGCGCGTAAGCTGCCCGCGTACGGTCGCGCGTCAGCGCCCTCGTCTCCAGTGCAGCACGCCGCGCCGGCGGCCCGCGTGAGCCACCGCGTGAGGTCGCCACGTCATCTCGCGTAAGACCCGTTTTTGATCGTCGCTCGTGTGGTTTCCCGTCCAGCCTCGGCAGGAGAAGCAAACAAAAAAAAGCGTTGGCCGCACGTGAGCTGCCCCTCCCGGTGAGCCCTCCCCTGCAGCAGGACGTGTACAGCCTGGGGCTCGTGGGCGCCGAGCTCGCCGCCGGGGAGCACCCGCTGGAGGAGAGGGGCGCCGGCCGCTCGCCCACGCCGCTCCTCCGCCAGGCAGCACGCCGAGGGGTGCCGCGCAGCATTCCCCCGGGTCTCCGGCGATCGGATCTTTCAGTCCTGCGGGGCCCAGAGGTGCACACCACCACAAGCTTCCTCATCCCCTCCCTCTCCCAGGAAAGAGGCGAGGAAGATGAGGGTGGACAAGGGATGGGGCAATGGATGTGGTGGTGGTGTATATGATTGGGGCCCGCAAGTCCCTCGAGGAAGAGAAAACGGCATAAAGATAAGAACATTGGCGCTCCGCTCGGATTTCTTGGATCGGCGCCTGGGGCCCCCTGGCGGCGCCTCTGGCGGCGCCCCTGGCGCGCTCCGCGCTCCAAGGAGAGGGGCCCAGCGCGGATCCGAGAAATCCGCGCGGATCACCAAGAATTGTTTGTTTATGGCATTTTTTCTTCTTCTAGGCTTCCGCCCAGATCATTGGATACAAGATGTTCTCGGTCGCGATCGGTAGCGACTGGTCGGCACGTCAAATCGGTCGTGACCGGTCTTGAAGTAAACTGGTCTCGACCGATAATTGCCAGACTTTGAAGCAACATAGGTAGCGACCGATCTCGTCGGTGCCGCCGACCCTGAAGGGGGACGACGACGATGACGACGACGACGACGACGACGACGACGGCGGCGGCGGCGGCGGTGGCGGAGACGGCGACGACGAAAAATGTGCCAAGACAAGAGGGGACTTATTGATTTTGCCTTCTGTAGGTTAGGAGTGCTCTTGGGGCTCTCTGGGGCCTCTTGGTCGCCCTCTGGTAGCACGCCGAGGGATGCCGCGCAACATTCCCAGATCTCCGAAGATATGATGCTTCAATCCCGGCAGTTTTTGTTTCGATGTTGGCCTCCGAGGGGGCCCCTTGCTGGGTCCCCTTAACAATCAAACACGGGTCTGGGGCGACGAGCTGGCCCACGGGAAGGGGTCGGGAGGTCGGGGGGGCCAGATTGAAAACATCGTATCGGCGGATGTCTGGGTTCGGCTTTGCCGGAGGTTCACGATGAAGACATCGAGGGTTCCAGGGTAGTATTTTATATATATACACATATATATACATATATATATATACATATGAATAGACGTCTATTCCTTGTAATAATTCCCAACCATCCTGTGGTGTTGGGTCCTCGTTTTGAAGAGACAGCGCCCCGCGTTCCCACCTTCCTCCCGCTGCCCCCCTCCCTCATGCTCCTCTCATCATCAGCATCATCATTAGCATCATCATCATCATCGTCATCAGCATCAGTATCATGACCGCCATAATAACCATCATTGTCGCCATCACCGTCATCATCATCATCATCATCATCATCATCATCATCATCATCATCATCATCATCATCGTCATCGTCATCGTCATCGTCATCGTCATCGTCATCGTCATCATCACCATCATCGTCGTTGTGGCGTAGTGCATAGGAAGCCGCTTTGGAGAACCCCACCAGAGGCCCCAGTGGCAGGGTCCGCATGCGGTTCCACCCGATTTCGGCACACCCCTCACACGTTCCGTGGACCCATGGTGAGCCCCACCGAAGGCCCCAGTGGCAGGGTCCGCATGCGGTTCCACCCCCATTTTGGCACACCCCTCACACGTTCCGTGGCCCCATAGGGAGGCCCACCGAAGGGTCCCAGTGGCAGGGTCCGCATGCGGTTCCACCCCCATTTCGGCACACCCCTCACACGTTTCGTGGACCCATATTAAGCCCCACCGAAGGCCCCAGTGGCAGGGTCCGCATGCGGTTCCAGCCCCACTTCGGCACACCCCTCACACGTTCCGTGGCCCCATGGTGAGCCCCACCGAAGGCCCCAGTGGCAGGGTCCGCATGCGGTTCCACCCCCAATTCGGCACACCCCTCACACGCTTCGTGGACCCATATTGAGCCCCACCGAAGGCCCCAGTGGCAGGGTCCGCATGCGGTTCCACCCCCATTTCGGCACACCCCTCACACGTTCCGTGGCCCCATAGCGAGCCCCACTAAAGGCCCCAGTGGCAGGGTCCGCATGCGGTTCCACCCCCATTTGGCACACCCCTCACACGTTTCGTGGACCCATAGTGAGCCCCACCGAAGGCCCCAGTGGCGGGGTCCGCATGCGGTTCCACCCCTATTTCGCGCGTGGGTCGGTGGCTCAGAAGGACAGGACCATTGCGAAATTTTGAAATTGTGTTCTGCGCTCGTTGGGGCGTTCGCTTTGCGCCCGCGTGTTCAGAGGGTCGCGCGTTGGCTGGTGGGGAGGAAAGCGCGGGATTGTGTGGAAATGTGTTGAGAGTTTTCGAGTGCGAACTCCGTGCTGCGTCCTGCCCGGCGCCTCGCTCGCCCGTCGTCGCTCTGCCTGGCGACCAGAGCCTTGCCCGCTGTCAGCCAGCTAGCTCTCTTTGCTCCGCGCAGCGGACGACCCGCGCGCGTCGCTGGGATCCCTTCAAGGCGACCTGCGCGCGTCGCGGGGACTCCGCGCTGCGCTGTTCCCGCAGCCTTGATGTTTGGGAGTGCGCAGGCAAAGAGGGAGGAAAAGAAGGGACGGAAACGGGTGCGATGCTCGTGAGGGGCGTGCCGACATCGGCGTCGCGGCGCGCGGGCGCTGCCGTCGGGGTTCCCTCGGAAGCTGCCTGCGGCGGCCACGCTCGTGGTCACGAGTGTTCGGACAGGCGTGCCTGAACCATTCGCATTCATATACATTTACACTAGGCGTAGCCATGATCGCATCCACGCAAATATAATCACACGCAAACTCATTCACACTCAGACTCATTCGCGCTCTGACTCACCCGCGTTCAGTCTCTCGTAATTCGACTTATCGTATTCCTTTGCGTTGTGTACCCCGCCACAGTCCGGCACACCCCTCATACGGTTCGTGGCCCCATAGGGAACGCCACCGAATAAGATATCTACAATTGCGGTACTCGCAACTGCATATGGTTGGGTCCTTCGCCAGGCTAATTCTTATTACCCGGAAGACCCCCCACCCCCCCTAAACCGGACCCCCCCCAGGGACGCCCCAGACGCCTTTTCGGACGTCTCGACGCCCCCTGGACGCCCTTGGAAAAGGTCCGCTGGCCCTTCCGGGCTTCCCAGGGCGCCTTGCCCGGCCTTGCGAGCAGACTCAAGGCGATCAGAAGGGCCATCGGAAAGGCGCACGAGAGACCCTAAGACAGCACAAGAGCGCTCCAAGAGGAACTTCGATGGTCTGAAAACGGCCGAAAAGGCCCCCAAGACGCCCCAAGAGGGCGCTTAGAGAGCCCCGAAGAAGCAAACATCGTCCCATTCCCTTCATTATATATATATATATAGAGAGAGAGAGAGAGAGAGAGAGAGAGAGAAAGAGAGAGAGAGAGAGAGAGAGATTAGCATATCCGCTCTTGTGGTATTCGCAGAGCGTCCAAGACGGCCCGTGGGCCCCCGATGTCGCCCCAAGACGGCCCAAGAGGTCCCCCTGAGGATTTGAAGACGGCCCACGAGGGCCCCAAGACTTCCCCAGAGAGCCCCGAGATTGGCCACAAAAAAGCCCAAGATGCCCCCAGAAGGCTCCCAAGAGAGACCCACGAAAACTATGGGAGACCCCCAAGAAGGCCACTGGAGGTCCGCAAGAGAGCCAGCCCTAGATGGCTTCAGATGACCTTTGGAGGGCCCTAGCTCCCCAAGACGGCCCAAGAAGGCCCCAGGACGGCCCAAGTGGGCTTCAAATGGGCCCTAGGACGGCCCAGAGAACACCAAAAACGCCCAGACGGCATTCTCTTACGAAGTACATCGAGCTTACCCGAAGATCCTGGTTCCACGGTTGAGGCGCGAGGTTAAAATTCCTCGATCGAGTAAGATAGGTCTCCCCCCTCCTCCACCCTTCCGCCTCCTCAGCCCCCCCTTCATCCCTGCTCCCTTCCCGTTCCCCCGTCATGGACAAGTGCCATCGCAACAGTTTGTTGCTTCGTCGTTTGCCAGCACCTTCGCGCGTGAAGCAAATCATCATTCTTTCCCCACTCCTGCGCAAAAGCGTGCAAATTCATTGGGCGAGCGCGGTGTCAGCAGACACCAGCGATATCAGAAAAATGAATGAGCCGGTCGCCCGTCCAGGCCTCGAGGCCACCCTGCTGAAGCAAACGAAGCTTTATTGCTTTGCTGGGGGGCGTCCGGAATAAGGCGCATGGCGCAAAGCGGCTATGCAGTCTTATATGTATATATATATATATGTATATGTATAGGTATGTTTGTTTGTTTGTTTGTTTGTTTGTATGTATGTATGTATGTATGTATGTATGTATGTATGTATGTATGTATTATATATACAGATGTATAGGGGGGGCATATTCTGGCGTGGATCGTCCTCCTCGCCACTGCGGGGTTCCGCTTGGGATCCGAGGGAGGACGCGCCCCTGGAGGGAGGTCCAGGGGACAACTTCGGAGAAGGGAGGAGGATCTCCGCGAGTCAAAGGGCTCCATGAGGCTCTGGAGCGATGCCATCCGGGCCTCTCCGGAAGAGGCGGGGGGACATCCAGAACGTGGTCGGAGCTGACCCACAATTTTTTTCCTGACCTTGGTCAGCTTTGGAGCGATCTGGGGGTCTGAGGTGGCCCAGCACCCAGCACTGGCCAGCAGGAAGGGGGGCAGGTTCGAGATGCTGGGTTTCAACTGTTTTTTGTTGTTTGGTTTTTGTTCGTGAGTTTTGTTTTACTTTCGGGGGCCCCTTGTCAGGCCCCGGGACCGTCCAAAATGAAAACGGGGTGAAACATTGTACCATGTGGGCCCTGTCAAAGGGTCCCGGGACCGATTCTTTTGGCGGATATGCCTTTATCCCCGAGTCTTGCCAGATCTTCTCAAACCCTATCCAGGCCAGCCCCATTGGCCGCCTCCAACATTTCAATCGTCCTTATTCTGTCGAACATCTCAAGCTAATGGTCCTGGCCTTTTGGTGTGGTTCGGGCCGCTTGCGGTGTTTCCCCGCTTCCATTTGTTTCGTCTTTCCTGTATAAGACTCGGGCTCGCAGGCAAGACGCTGCGGTAAGGGCTACTTCGGGCTCAGGCGGGGCTCTGGTTTTCCGGCCGTCCCTTGGGGAATCTATTCGTGGCCGAGGCCCACCGTTGCCAGAAAAACCCATTCGTTCCTCATTCAACGTTCCTTGCATCCATCATGCATCTTATGAAAAGGTGTCCACTCTCGTGGATTCCAGATGCCGCTGAAAAGATCAAGAACCTGGACTGGCCCCTGGGCGTTTTCTTAGAACTTCCTATTCTCGTAGACTGGTCGAAGAACTAGACCTGGTCTACTGGTTGAGACTTCGCTTCGAGTGAAACCGATTTTCTTGGCGTGAAATTTGCTTAACTCTAAACATAGGGCCCTCGTCGCCGGCGTTGGGCTCGGCCAGAGCGTGTGGTCGAGATGGCGTCTGGGCGGAGCCGGGGCGCCGGTCCTGGGGAGTCCCAGTCGCAGGTGCAATTTCGATTACACGTAAGAGTGACCCTTCGCCGGAGTGACTTTTGGTGCGGGCCCATTGGGGCCCGCGGATCGCCGAACGCGATGCGATAGTAGCGTCTTGCGCGGTTGTATTTGGCCCCCCGCGGCTTCCAAGAAGCCAGGCACCAAAGGTCACTCTCAGGGTCACTCTTGCGTGTCGCCGAGAATTTGGATTTGTTTTTGTTCCCCAAACAGTATTTGCTCTTACATAAGGGTTCTTACTTCTGGTCCAGGAAGTGGCACTAATTGTCGGTCTGACGGCTACGTTGTCGCCGTGGCAGCCCCGCCGCCGACTCGTCGCCACACGTCGTCTGGGCGTCTGGGCCTGATTGTTGGTCGCCGAGCTTGTTGTCGCCGTCGCCATCCCGTCGCCGCCGTCCGTCGCCGCTGCTTCTGGGCATGATTGTCGGTCGACGCGCGCTTTGCATTGTTTTGCATTGCTTTGCGTTGCCTTGCTTGGCATCGCATTGTGCTGCATTGCTTTTCGCAACGTGGATTGTATAACATAGGTTACACAACATATATTGCAAAACCTTGATATCACAAATTCTATATCGCACTACATGGATTACACAATACATATGTTGCACAACATAGGCTGCACAACATATATTACACAACATTTACTGCACCGCATTCGTTGGTTCCCATTGATTGCACTGCGTAGCTCACACCATTTGAATTGCACTACATAGGTTGCACATCAAAAGTTGCACAACCTAATGTGTACCATATATATATATATATATATATATGTACAGATCGTCGTATCGATTTTTCAGCACCGGTTGCACAGCATAGAGTGCACCGGATATTCTGCACCACAAAGATCAAACATCATATTTTGCACAACGAACATCTTTTACACATATCTTCTTTTTCTGAATAGACTCTCCCTCCTCCCCCCTGGGCTTAGAGGTACCGCTTCTCGTATTGCAATTTACATGCGATTCTCCCCCACCATCTATCCGAAGTCATCCTAGCCAGGCCGGGATCCCCCCTCACCATCTGCAACAGTATTTATGTGTATACATGTGAGAGAGCGTGATCCACCGCCGCTTTACTCTGGAAAATTGCCAGCCTTTTCCTCCGGAACCCGGGGGTCGCCCCCCCCCCCTCCGAAAATCCCCCCCCCCCCCTGCCGGACCCCCCCCCTCCCCCCCCCCCCCTCCCCGGCAAAACCCCCCCCTAACCCCCCCCCCCCCCTCGAAAAACCGAGGGGGGTCACTACCAGTTCGAACCCCTCCCCCCCCCCCCCCCTCCGGATCTGGAAAACCGGGGGGGGGTCACTACCGGTTCGAACCCCCCCCCCCCGGTTCGAACCCCCCCCCCCCCTCGAAAACCGGAGGAGGGTCACTACCGGTTCGACCCCCCTCCCCCCACGCACCGCCAGCAAACGACTCCCGGTCCCTACCACCGTCCACATCACATCCCCCACTGTTGTTCCCAGCACCACTGTCCTCACCACCACTGTCCCCACTGGTTCCACCACCGTCCCTACTGTCCCCACCAGTGCCCCCACCACTGTCGCACTGTCCCCACTGTTCCCACCACTGTTCCCACCACGGTTCCACTCTCCCCACTGTCTCCACGGACCCAACCACTGCCCGACTATCCCCACTGTCCCCGCTGTCCCACTGACTCCTCCGCTGTCCCACTGAGCTGTCCCACTGTTCCCACCACTGTCCCCACTGTCCCCACCACTGTCCCCACTGTACCTCTGTCCCATTGTCCCACCGCCGTCCTCGCCACCGCCTTCACCACTGTCCCCACCACCATTGTACCCTCCACTATCCCACTGTTTCCACCTCATTCCCACTGTCCCCACACGACTGTCCCCACCACCACCGTCCCCACCACTGTCCACTGTCCCCCCCGTTCCCACCATTGTCCCCACCACTGTCCCCACCACTACCGTCCCCACCACTGTCCCACTGTCCCACTGTCCCCACCACTGTCCCGCTGTCCCCTCACCACTGTCCCCACCAACACCGTCCCCACCACTGTCCGCACCCCCACTCGGTTTTCGAGGGGGGGGGGGGTTCGAACCGGTAGTGACCCCCCCCCCTTTTCAGGATGAACCTGGGGGGGGGGGGGGAGGGGTTCGAACCGGTGGTGACCCCCCCCGGTTTTCCGGAGGGGGGGGGGGGAGGGGTTCGAACCAGTAGTGACCCCCCCCGGTTTTCCGCCAGCAGCGGTAAAACACGCTCTTTCATATATGTGTACATGTGTACATACATATATATATATATATATATATATATGCGCTCCTTCATCAACAAATCATCAACTTCCAAGACTCCCTTCACACAAACGGACGACATGCACACGCGCGCGTCGTCGCGCGCGCATGCTGAAATCTTTCAAACACCGGATGTTCCGGAAGGAAGTCAAAATCGAGTGTCCGTGAAACATATAAGAGCACACGGTTTTCCAACAATGATTTTCAAAACAAATGTTGTGATCGGGTTCATGCGGGTTCTTAACGCAACCATCGGTTTCCAGCAGTCTCTTGACATGCTACCAAACGGGCCTCTCGCGCGCGCATGTCGGAATCTCAAGACCGCCCTTGCGCGCGTATTGTCGCAATAATTCCCTTGCAAACAATGGGGCGAAGTGCACGCGCGCGCGTCTTCGCGCGCGCATGCCGCAATCCTTCAAAAACTTCACGTGTCGTAAGGATCTCCAAAGTGGTTGAACACGCATGGTTTGGCATCGCCCGTTTCCAAAAAAAAGCCTGCACTCGTGGTCTTGCGAATTCTTTCAGTGGAAACCCATGCCAAGAAACACCTTGCTTGTCTCCAGGGGGCCATCCATAAGCTTCTTGGGTTATGGAAAGCGTGACGATCCCACACCAAAAATCAATGGACGTCCTCGGGTCTCAGTGTTGGGTTTCTTGTGGCAGGTTTCGCGTCGTCGAGTTCCTATTGTAAGAACGCCATTGGTTGTTCAATACTGCCATTCAGTTTTGCCAAACTGGCCTCTTCGCGCCGCATGTCGAAAGTATTCGAATACCCTTGCGCGCGTGCTGGGGGGATGGGCGCGATCCGTGTCAACTAGCACTATCAGGACCACTCTCGCGAGTCGGCCGCGCGCGCATGTCGAAGTCCTTCCAAAACTTTCATCACCGACGCGAAGACGTCGCCATCGTTTTCGGCGTGATCAACATCGGCGCCGTCACTAGCCGTGCCGTCGTCGTTGTCATCATCGTCACCAGCATCGCTACTATCATCATCGCGCCTACCGATGTTGACGTTACCATTTTACCCTCCCCGCCCATGTCGCCAACTCGCACTGCAGTTGCCAGCGTGATCAGCATTGGCGCCGTCAGTAGCCGTGCCGTCGTCGTTGTCATCATCGTCTACCGTTGTTCACGTTGCCATTATGCCGCGCCGCCCAAATGGCCGACTCGCACTGAAGTGCCCGCTGGGAAGTGCCGAGCGGTCAGCGCCACCGCGGCCGCGTCGGTCGCACCAAACTAGCTGGCCGCTTAGCGCGCGAGCATGCGCGCTAGCGCGCGCGGCCGCAGCGATGCGCCAGCCAACGCCGAGCAGTCATCGCAATCGCCGCTCCATGGGTTTTGCAAAACAAGTTGCGCGTGTGTGGGTGGGATGATTGCACGAGCAGTAGAGTTGACAATTTCAAGTTGAGCAAGGTCAGTTTCACCACATCGATTGCACAACGTCGATTGCCAGAAACAGTTTGTTTAGGGCCCACGCTGGCTAGTATTGCTCGGTTTTCTCGACCCAAAAATTCGGTTCTGTAAGGTTTAAAGAAAAGGAACTCCCGATCCGCCTTGCACACCTTGCACACCGCGGCCGCCAGGCCCCAGGGGTCGCGGCGCTCCCTCGGTATCCCGCTTAGCGTCTAGGACGAATGACGACTGCATACCGCGGCCGCCAGGACCCCAGGGTGCCAGAGCTCTCTGGAGATGCCGCGTCGCGTAGGAATCGCTCGAAGCGAACTGATGTTTTTGTTTCGTTTGTTGTTGTCACCTCTCCAGAAGGCCGGCGCGGGCAGGTCGGCATCGGGATTGGGCGTTCGTTCGTGCGTTCGATGTTCAGGGCGCCCCCGGCCGGTGGCTGCCTTCGAGTCCCGCGGTCTTCTTCGTGGGTGGCTAGGAGGCGGGAGGTGATTTTGGGGGTTGGGTATCATGGCTGGGCCATGATCTCTCCCCCGATGCCATGTCCCCCTCTCCTGATTTCAATGCGTCCTTTGGTCCCCCTCCTGGTCGCGCACGTGCCGCGAGCCATGCTTTGCGAACCCCCGTCTGGTTAGCCCGCCTCTTGGCCGCTCCCGATCTCCCCAGTCCTCCTCACAGGATCTGTGGACCCACCACTGCGGCAACAGCGGGGCCACCGAGGACGAGGACGAGCGGGAGTTCTACAGGAGCATCGTGGATCCAGACTTTGAGGTCCCACGCTGCTGCGGGTACCATCTCCCCAACCCATGCCTGCCCGCTTGTGACGTGCTCCTAGTCTTGTGCGCGACGCAGGCGCGAGGAAAAGCTAATGTTGGTCAGGCGATTGCGTGAGGTTACGACTCAATATGTCAATGCAGTTGGTCGCAAGGTGACCATCCTTTTTGCGTGTTTGTTTTGGTAGTCAGGCGCCGTGCTTCGAGTCAGACATGTGACCGATGCGGGTGGCATATGAAATCGTTTGTGTCGCCCACCTGCGTGTTTTGAACTTGCGCTCCTGCCTATTCTGTCGCCTTATTCAACCGCATGCTGCGCGGATGAATACCAGCCTCCCCCAGGCCCCACCACCAGGTTCGTTTGACGGTGCTTGGAATCAGGGTGATGTCAACCCTCGCTCGGTTTGGGGGCGTCTCCGCTCGAGCGGTGTACGGGAGTGCCCGCGCAGCGGTTGCCCCTCTCTGCCTCCTTCTCCACGCATGGAACTTCGCCAGACATCCACCGATTTAGAACCCCCCTCCCCAAGGATCTTGCGGAGCGTTGGATGTTGACATCCAGTTGCTTCCTGCAATCCCGCCAACGTGCCGGCGCAGCATTCTGGGTGGCGCCGATTCGAGAAGGCATGGGCGGCCGTCACGTGTTACATCTTGGGCCTCTCGAAGGCCTTGAGGCCTGTGGAGTGCCTTTTGGGGGCCTCTTGGGGGCTCCTGGCAGCGTCTCCGGGGGCGCCACGGTGGCTCTTGGGGGCTCCCTGTGCCGTCGGATTCAGATGCCGCTCTTGGGCCGCCTGGGCATTGTCGGCGTCCGTCATGAGGGGCCGTCTGGGTCGTCCTGGGGACCTGGAGGGCCGTCTGAGGGCGTTGGGTGTGGAGTTCCCCGCCCTCGGTGGGCGGACGATGCCCACACCGCGCGCGGCGAGCCCGAGATTCTGGGCGGGGCACGCCCCCCCCTCCCCTCCAATCGGCGGATGTGGGGACGTCCCGGTCGTGGGTCGTCCTCCCCGCTCGAGAGCCTTGAGACGGGGTCCATGCAAACTGGGATCAGCCAGAGCGCCGGCTCGCGCAGGACCCTAGAAGGCGCCGCCTCCACGTCCTCCGTCTCCTCCTCCTCCTCCTCGTCCTCCTCCTCCTCCTCCTCCTCCTTTGAAAAGCACTCCATACAATGTATGTTTTGAGGGTTCTGACATAATGCTGTTATATGCTTTTCCCTCTCGAGGCCCCTGGAGGCCCAGTGTCAGCACATAGCAAGCAGCAGAGAGTGACGGCACGTTTGACCAGTGCCGTTTGAGCTCGAGAGGCCTCTCGACTGACCAAAAAGGTTACCATCACCACCCCCCGCCTGCAGAGCATAGCGAGGGAAGGTGTTCGAGGAGAATTTGCCAGAGATTCGGACTTCGATTCGAGGGGAGTCGGAGATTTCGGGTGCTTCGACGATTTCACATTGGTAGCGGAGCTACGGCTCTACGGAAGACGACACACCCATGGGACCACCATCTCGAAATGGGGGAAAAGGGCCAACAGCGACACCGGCATCAGGTCGACCAGAGGACGGCCCATTCATCGGACGTGCCCCGGAGTTCGACGGCTCCATCGACGGGTGCAAGACGTTCCAGAGAAAAGGTGGATATCCACGCCAGCCGAGCCAGAAGTAAGCAGCAGGAGAAAGCAGTAGGGCTCGAGATCACGCAAGGCTTGTGGGGCAGAGCGTGGGAAGTTGTCGAGGACATCCAGACAGCAGACATCGAGCAGGAGAAAGGCTGACAGCTCATCCTCGACGCGCTCGACAAAGCCTACAAGTATGACCAGATTGCGGAGCTCCCGACGGGCTTCGAGAATTTCTTCTTCGAGGCCGCCCGCAAGCCCAAAGAGACGCTGATGGGCTACTTTGCGAAGTTTTGGACGTCAGAGCGCAAGTTGCGCTCGCACGATGCGTCTCTCCCAGACGAGGTGCTGGGTTGGTTTCTTCTACGCAGGGCCGGGCTGGACACCGAAGGCAAACAGCTCGTCGTGAACCAAGTCGGCGACAACCTCTAACTTGACAAGGTCGAAGGCGAGATGAAGAAGACATTCTGCCTGGATTTGGTGGCCGGTACGAAACAGTGCCTGTGTGCGATTTGCGCAGAGCGGAAAAAAGGCATCGCAACCATCGAAGTTGGCACCGCCATCATGGAAGACATTTATCCAGGCTGTGTACATGGATTTCTTCGAGTGCAAGCTGCGATCGGGCTCGGCGACGATCGCTCACCTACTGGATGGAGCTAGCCGCTTCCAGAAGTGCAGGATCTCGTCGCGCGAGACGACAGCCGAGGCCACCAAGGCCATCGAGAAGGAATGGATCAGGCGCTACGGCACACCTGCGAGGCTCGCGATGGACGAGTGTGGCGCAGCGCGCAGTCAGGAGATGCTCGACTGGACCAGTGACCAGAACATTTTGTAGATCGCCCCCGGGGAGGCTCACCATGTCATGGGGCCAGTGGAGCGAGCGCATCAGGTGACGCGCGAGACGCTGGAGCTCTGGTTCGAGGAGACCGGGTTGGAGCGCACCATCGAGAACTTGAAGGCAGCGTTGGACTACGTGCCCAGTCAGATCAACCGGTTGATGCATCACAAGGGCTTCAGTCCTGCGCAGTGGGTTCTGGGCTACAACCCGGAGCTCAACGACCCCTTGTCCCCAGGCGCGCTGTCCGTGCCGGCGGCAGAGGCCTACCTGGAGGAGGAGACGTTCCAAGAGGCGATGCAGCGGCGAGCGGCAGCGTCGATGGCATTCATCAAAGCGAATTCGACGGACAGGCTGCGCAGAGCATTCCTGCGCAAGAGACGTGACATCCATGAGGCAGTGAGCGTGGGTGACGAGTGTTACAACTGGCGTAATCGTGGAGCTAGCAGGCTTCAGAAGTCACGCTGGAGAGGGCCGGCCACAGTGGCTCTGCGCGAGGGGGCGGAGAGCGGCCAGCCCAGGGTCTACTGGGTCACGCGCGGCGGGGGCCTACTGCGGTGCTGCCCAGACCAGATCAGACCCATTGTGGAGCGGATCGGCGAGCCTAGACGGCCAGCGAACCCACGGGCAGCGCAGACCACTCTACAAGGACTACGACGCGGAGGTATCGTGCAGTTCTTCGATATCAGCCAGTTGCCCGGACCCGCCGACGAGGGCCCAGCAGACGAGCCGATGGGGGAAGACGAGCCAGCTGCTACAGCTGTTTTGCACCGACGGTGGACCAGGCCATGGATGGCCAGCCCAGGCAGGTGTCTGCCGGGGATTCCGAGCCGCAGGCCGAGCCAAGGCCGGCGGGCAACGAGGACCCACCACCGACGGCGGACGACGCGGCGATACCGGGCGATGATGACATGGAGTTACAGCAAAAGCCAGCTCAAGAGCAAGCACCAGATGCAACAGAGGTTCCAGCAGCACAGACGGCACCGGCTCAGCCAGTGATCGTTGACCCAGCGGCGAATTTCAAGGGGATGCGGAGGAACGTCGATGCATCGGAGATGGCTCCAATGAGGACGTTTGCGGCGCATCGAGATCGGCGAGACTACTGGACAGGACCCTACGACAAAGTGGACATCCAAGACGACGTAATGTTTCTGAACCTGGACGCGCTACCCAAGGGCTGAGGCTGCAATGCAGAGGACCAGGCGTTCTTCCTGGACTACGACGAGTGCCGCTTGGCTGGCGAGCTGAGCGAGAAAAACATGAACGCGGAGGACAAGGCCAAGTTCGCGGAGGCGAAGCGCGCGGAGCTGCAGAGCTTCTTCGACAACCAGGCTTGGGGGCAAGACAAGAATGAGGTCAGCGACCCCAACAAGGTGCTGCGCGCGAGGTTCCTATTGAAGTGGTCGAGGAACGCCGACGGAAGCCACGGGGCCAAGGCCAGGCTGGTTATCCAAGGGTTCCGAGATCCAGACGCGATGGCAGGGGAGCTGGCCAAATCCTCACCGACTATGACAAGATTGAGCAGACCCTTCATCGTGATGCTCGGCCGCATTCACGGTTGGACCCTGTTCACCGCGGACGTCAGCACCGCGTTTCTGCTGGGCAGGGTTCGGATCGTGGGATTTTGGTGCTTTTACCGGCGGAGGCGCGCGGGGCTCTCGGCTACCAGCCGGGCCAAATCATGAAGTTACTCAAGAGAACGCGCGGGCTGAGCGACGGGCCGAGGCTTTGGTGGGAGTAAGCTACCGACCGCATGATTGCGCGTGGGTTCGTGGTTCACCAGCTGGGCCCCTGCCTGTTCCTGAGCTACCGCCTGGGCGCAACCAGCACTGAGATGTTCAACGGCGCCATCGGGCTACATAGTGACGATGTGCTCGGAGGCAGCGGCAGTCAGGAGGGCCAGGCATGTTTCTCGGCGCGCGTGAAGGAGCTCAAGGAGGTTTTCCAACTTCAGGACGTGGGAAGACACGAACACTGGCACCCTGAACATCGCAGGCGACGCTTCGATGGATTTCTGTGGCAACCAGCTCACCAAGACGACGAGCGGATATTACCAGATGAGTTGCGCAGCCGACATGAAGTCGCTCAAGCCAATCACCGTGGCCAAGAATCGAGCGAGCGACCACAACTTGCCAATCGCCGAGGGCGAGCGTCGACAGCTACGGGGATTGATGGGAAGCTTGGCTTGGCCCAGCAACCAGGCTGCACCCCGTCTACATTGCAGCGTCAGCCTGGGACAAGGGACGATCAATGAGGGCTCTACCGCGAAGGTTCGTGCCAGATGTTTCCCAGGATATGCGACGACTCGGGCGAAGTGACGTTTATTTGCATGACGGACGCAGCGTGGGCAGTTAGTCGTGATGGGAGCTCACAAGGAGGCTGCCTCTTCCTAGCGGCGCACAGGAGTGCGCTGGTCGGCGAGACCGTCAGGTACGTGGCGGTCAACTTGCGCTCATGGAAGCCACCGAGGGTGAGCAGGTCATCGTTGGCGAATCAGGCCAGAGCTGCAGCCTGAGGCGTGGGCGCGCTCGAGTATGTGAAGGTGCACTTCAGGCCGATGC